GACTGCAGGACTCCTCTGTGTACATGCTATCTCCAGGGCAGTGATCTCAAAGGGTTAATAGCTGAACAAATAGAAACTGGTCACTCACTTTCTTTCTATCATCCTATGCTTCTTTTCCTCATGATAGATTACTAGATGTAAGTATAAAGACAGAATAACTAACAATGCATGACATATGAAAGTAGCACTTGCCTGTGAAAACCACTTCAATTACCTGAGATGTGTATTGGAGAGGATTCCAAATACCACCTGTAATTTCTAGTCGTTGATCCTCTGAGAGGGATCAAATTTCAAAGTGAAAAACTGCCATAACTGGGAGGCAACGTCACTATTATGAATAAACAAATCAGGGCCAATTCAGATAAAGAACAGAATGCAGTCTGTAGCACCACTGTGGAAGGAGCAATTATATGTCAGATTGGTTTATGAGGGAAAGAGCCTTTAACAGAAAGATGTCCTAACTCTTTTGATTGTGGCTGGGGGCACACTAAGTAAATAGCCCTTGAGAAAGAAGACTGAATTGCTTACAGATTTAAAATGTAGGTGCTCATCCAACCAAGAAGGGGAAAATTACAGTTACATCTCAGTTTTTCCCTTTGTCCCTTGGTCTTTGCCACTGACCCTCAAGTGTACCTGAGAGTGACAGGAAGCACAAACCCAAGAGGTACAGTAGTCCCCCCTCCTTATCAGCAGTTTCATATTCCAGGGTTTCAGTCAGCCATGGTCAACCATGGTCTGAAAATATTAAAGGGAAAACTCCAGAAATACACAATTCCCAAGTTTTCAATTGCATGGCATTCTGAGATGTGTGGTGAATTCTGCTGCTGTCCCGCCCGGGCTGGCTGAGACATGAAACATCCCTCTGTCCGGCATATCCACGCTATACGTGCAGTACAATAAGACATTTTGAGGCAGGGAGAGAGGAGAGACCACATTCACATAACTTATATTATAGTACATTGTTATACTCGTTCTATTTTATTATTAGTCATTTTTGTTAATCTGTTACTATGCCTAATTTACAAATTAAACTTTATCATAGGTATGTATTTATAGGAGAAAACATACTAATTTAGGGTTCAGTGCTACTCACAATTTCAGGCATCCACTAGAGGTCCTGGAACATATTCCTCATGGATAAGGGGGACTACGGTATCTACATTTTACTAAGCATGTCAGCCAAAAGATGTGGTAACAATAGGCAAAATTAATATAAGTATGGTACTTTGATATGAGACATAGATAAGAAAGTAGTTCTCCTTTTATGCCTTCATCATTAGGAAAACCTAAAATGTTAAGTGCCAGTAAAAATCTCCATAGACTCTCTGTAAAAATATCAAATCAGATCCCTTTTGTTACACTTCTTCTCTTAGTAGGTAGTTTCATTACAACTGGACAACTGGAATTTCAGAAGGCCAGCAACGACTGCTCTTTCACTAAATCAGGGCAACATTTATAGTCAGAAAATAAATATACAGAAAATTTAGAAGAAAAGGATTCCTAAACAGAGCCTTGTATATTTTTCATCTTCAAAACTTATAGTGTAACAAAATGAAGAAAAGATACAAGAAAGCAAAAATTGTATCAGAGTAAAAGAAATCATTTAAAAATCACACTTGAGTAATAGAGAAAACAGACTGCCCAGAAAGATTTGCACATTACATATTATTCTTCGCAGGATTTTAATTCTAGATTAAAATGCCAATAAAATGACTTTTCTTGGTAAAAAAAGACACTGGGCAGGAGTTGGTCTAAGCTAGCATAGCGCTTACCCACGTGCCTGACTGATAATGAGGGGCCGTGACGGCTCAGCCTCTCCAGGCCTCAGCTTCTTTACGCAGATTCACATTGGAAACCAAGCCTCGTTAGCATGACTCTGCGCGCAACATCACAGCCTCTCTTTGGCCACTCTTTTGGTATCCTCATGCAAAATAATTCATTTGGGCTTTACTACAATAAGAGTATAATTAGCAGTCATTCTGTAGAATAAAGTACTTGTGATGCCACAAGCCAATTTTCTGAAAGTGCCTCTAAAGCAGCACCTGCACCATCCATGTTTATAAATCAGATAATTGTACACCTAACCACTTATGTGTATATGTGGTCTGATTTACATATGCAAATCAATTTTGTTATATACAGTTGGCCAACTCCTTGCTTTCTTTATGCTTTTCCATCCCCACCTTGTAAGTGCAGATAGATTAGATTTCTGAAATCCCATTATAATAAACTACCATTTTATTAAACTATCCCCCAAGCTATTTAGGGATATTTCTAATACCTCCATGTGATAATAAGATATAAAAACAAAGCTCAGAGAAGCTGCAAAGTCTCTATTGATTCACTACATCAGGAAGCTGCTTCATTTGTACTGGATGTTCAAAACCATTTAAATAAATCTTTTCTGCCCTCTCAAAGGAATGTGTGACTATGATCAGGAGTCTCCGACTCTTACCTAATTCCAAGTGATAATAATGAATGACAATATAATCGGATAGGGATTTGATCATCATAAAAGACAATGATTGATCTCATTCAACATTGTTAAAGGTAAAGATTTATACCTTGTGTCCTTTCCCATTTAGGCTTACATTAGGCAGAATACCTGAATCTCCTTTCTAATGTTAATCTACTAATGATTCTACATGGGAAAAAGTAAAGAAGCAATTATTGAAAATGTTTTGAAGGATATAAAGATATGAAATTTTATTCAAGACTACATTAAGGATTTGCACAGCATTACATCTCAAATATACAAACACAAACACAAAGTAAACCCTTAAAAATTCTCCATTAATTTGTCAGAAAGGTTTAAATTTATAACTTATATTTTATTACTTAGGTAATTAAGTTTAGATGAGTAGAATTTTGCTTTGTTTTAATGTGTGATTTAAGTAAAAAATATGAAGCTATTTAAAACTTAATTCAGACATACAAAATAATTCTGAACTCATAATAATTTGCCTATTTCTAAATAACTGGTTATTTAAAAAACTTTAAACTTCTATAAAATAATATATAGTTTCAGATTTTGAAATGGTTCTTGAAAGTACTAGTTTATAATTTTGAAAGGCTCTCTGGTTCAATTAAAGGTGGCAAATTAAATATATAAATTTATTTCCTCTCACTCATTACTCTCCATTAAAATGCTAGAAAAGGAATAAAAAAGTATAATCACAAGAAAAAAGAGAACAGAAAAAGGGAGAGAGGTGAACAAGAGATTTAATAAAATTTTTCAATATGGAAATCAGATGATCTGTGGTAACGGATTCAGCAACACCACGGAAGCCACAAAGGCGCTAGGTGAGCAAACTAACCCAGACAGGATAAGGCATAGCAAAAGTGGAGGTGGAGAGGGGGACAGGAGGGCAGAAACAGGAAATCCTTCAGAAGGCTCTAATAAAAAGACTCGACACCCCCTTAACCCATATACAAACTATCAACAGCCAGAAGCCCGCTTGAGCACTCCTTTCACACATACCCAGGCAAGAGACTGGAGGTTTTGTTCTCTGGAGAAAATGAACTAAAGGGACTCAAGATATGATGACATCGGTACAGTGGATAATGAGACTAAGGCACAAACCATTACAGGATGTGCAAAACAAAGAAGTAAAGTTGGAAAGAGGATGTCAAGGGATCTAGGAAATGGTGGATTCCACCCCCATGAGCAGCAGAGAGATATCAGAGGTCAGATGCACGGCAGACCTCCAGAGTGGAGCAGGAGACAGAGTCCAGAAATGCAAAGAACAACTTCAATAAAATTCAGAACATGGATTACTAAATGAGAGAGTGGAGATGCACAGCCATACATTTCCAGGTACATCAAAAGCACATACCTACTCATGAGAAAGTGGTACCACTAAATCAGAAATACATGATTCTTGCTCTATATTTTAGGCCTTTTGCTTTAACTTGCTTTTTATTAATCACGTGAATGTATTTATTTTGAAAAAGATAACTGTGATTAAGTCTATTTGAAACTATATTAAGTGAAAAATAGGGTAATTTCTCAAGTGATATTGTCAACCTTTTTAAACATACAAAAAAGGGGGAAGGAAACTATAAGAATGGTTCTTACAGTTTCAAGTATTTTTCTATAATTACTACCCATTATTTCTAGAGTCATTTAAAAACTGTAATATAAAATATAATGTTGAGTAAGGTAATAATATAATTTGTAAATAATTACTGTGTTGCTGTAGGAAAACCAATAGAACATTCTGAAAGAAATAGAGTCAAATTCTAATAAAATCATAATAAACAGAATAAATATATGATGTTACAGTGGTTAAATAAAGGTTTTACTAGTCATAGTAACAACTTTTAAAAATTCTTAAGTCACTTGAATAATGCTATTCAGTGAAAATTAATAAAGCACTGGCAGCTACCTTAGCCAGGCATCTTTTAGTGCTCCTGCATTAGAGAGAATTGTCCAAACTTACTCTCAGGCATTAAAAGGGCAGAATTTACAGCTACCTTCTGACAAGTTATTCAGTATTCAACATCATTTCTAGTAAGGTTCCCTCCTCTCCATAAATGTAAATACCTGGTTCTATAATTTATGTCATTAGTATTCAATGATAACAGAAAAAAAATGTTGCAGCTCACCATTTTTGCCTAATGAACCCTCACTTAAATTAATTTTCTCTTCCATCCTAGCACCTGCACAGAGCCTCAGTCGAACAAATAGGGATGAATAAATAAATGTTATAATGAAGTACCTTTTAAGCTTGTTCTTCTGCAAGGGAAATAATCCTAGTTTCTTTAGTCTTTTATTGTGGAAATGTTTCCTTTTAATTTTGAATAATCTCTGTGGCTTTTCTTTGATTTCCAACGTGTCTTAAGATGACAAGGGCAGAACCGGGCACAGTATTCTACTGAAAATGTGACCAGTCAGGAACACTCTACAACTGCCTTGTGGTGTTGATGTTACATAAACCTAAGTCATTCCAAGACCACATTGAAAATTTCTACCCATAAGATAACGTTGAAGCACTTACCTCAAGAACCAACCAAAGCTTATCTCCATTTATTTTATCCTTCTTGAAGTACATCCCATAGAATTTGACCACATTAGGATGGTCAGATAGGGCTTTTAAGATATTATATTCTGCTTCAATCTCTTCATCAATATCCTAGTTTCAAAAAGACATAGGAAGACACTCGTGAGAAAAACATGAATATTGTCAAAGAAACACATTATAGACTATCAAATAGGGAATTTAATTTTGTCAAAGCAAGGTCATAATAGTTTTTATTATGCTCAGTACTATGTATTGAAATTGGTCATTACATTGTTTAAAGGGAGAAACTGGGATTTTCTTGCTAATCAAGTACATCTCCAATTATGTTAATTACATTGAATTAAAAAGGGATAAATAAAAGGCTATTGTATATGAGAACTACTGCAGATGATTTTCTTTTCTTTGCAGTGTTAACTGCATTTCAATGGCAAAGTCACTGATTCAAAATAAAAACTTTTGGCTGGGTTATTTTGTTTCTTTGAAATACAAGATATTTAGAAGTTATCAATAACTAGTCATACAAACAATAAATTCCTACCTTTCCAAAAAGTAAAATACAGTTAAATTATATAAGATGGCACATAGCCTCTAATGAGCTAAAGGCCCATTGAGCAGAAGGAGAATTGGCTGCTATCCTGTCAATAAAAATGCAAGATAGCTACATAGTCATGTTTCTAGAAAACCACATATACATGAAACAACTCACAGAGGAATAAATAAGAGAAAGCTTTCTAATATTGTTTTTATGGTAATATTTAATGTCTATATTGTTTTAAGACAGATCATGGAATCACAGAGCTGGAAAGAATTTTAGATTAGAACTCTAATTTGAGAGGAAGAAGCTAAAGCTCAGAGGAGTTACAGTCACAGAGCTGGTTAGTGCAAGATCCAGGACCAGACTGCAAGTCCACTACCTACTACTACCTTCTGATACTGCTCAGTTTGGCCTTTTCTTAGAAAGAAAGTAACTAGCTCAGAATCCATAATAATAAAACCCTTTTAATAAAAGAGCCACTCTGGGAAATGCTTGGATGCATTTAAATTAACTTTATTTAGATTATGATCTCTTGGTTATAAATCTTTTTTATTTGACTTGTGACACGATGAATGAAGAATAAATAATTCTTAGAAAACCACATATGTACTATGACAAGAGTAAAAGCAGCAAAAGAACAAATTTCACACTAAAGCTATGCAATCAATATATTCTATTAGAGCAATACCACACAGTATGATTAGGTCAATAGTATACCAAACATGAGTATATTATGAAAGCCATTTGTTCTTCTCCATTAAGAAGGAGGAAATGGGATGAGAGACACTGATTACAGAATCAGACATTGGGAACTGTCTGGAACACTTTCTCTGGCCACCACGAACCCCAATTTCTAACTGCAAAGAATGGAGAGAGGGGTAGTCACCCTGGTACAGATTAACTTGAGTCTCTCTTCCCTCAGTTTAAATGGTAAGTAAGAACTTTCCAATAGTGTTAAAACAGCATAGTGTTGCTCATTGTTTTTCCTCATTATTTCCTATTACTTTTTAAAAATCCGCTCTTCCTTTTTTACTCAAAATAATATGAAATGCTGTATTTAGCATGGGTTTAGTAGAAATAAACTATCAGAGAGAGAGAGAGAGAGAAATCCTAAGATGGACAAATGGAGGCCTGGGGACCTTTTGCAGTGTCCTCCAATTTGTTAGTGGGAGAGATGTGATAAGGACTAGGGCTCTGATGTCCCCCCGACACAAATCACATCATTTGCATCATGCCATGCCCCCTTCACATGAGCAAGAGTGGTATAATTGGAGAAGTGGCTCTCACTAAAAGTTTGGGGATTATGTGATCACCAAACCCACTCATGGTCCCCAACAGCCAGCTCTCATTCCCAGAAAACAAAATCTTGTCAGCCTCCTCATGGTCTTCAAGGCAAAGAGAAGGCTTAGTAGGTTCCCTGATCAAAACTGCTATTCCCTCTCCCCAAAAAAGCAAAGGGGGATCCCTTTGGGGCATTGCTTAAACAGATGGAATGTGGAATTCAGTTCTTCCCAAGGAACATCAACCTGATTATAAATAAACACGATTTCTGCTTTGAAAACATTTAAGCAAACCTGAAAATTAATTTCCCTTCTCTGAATGAAATTTAATTTCAAAATAGTATTTCTGACTTGGCTTAAAAAAATTTTTTCCTGCAGCCTAAATAAAGCAAAGCGGAAAGGATGTCTGGTCTTGGTGATACTTTAGGACTTCTTCTAGACCCATGAGTCCATTCTTACAATTTTTTGAAATCTAAAATAATATTAAATCAACTGTTAGCTGTTTGAGTTGTATTTATTTATGTATTTATCAGATATTTATTGGGCCTTACTTTATGTGTTAAGCATATATAAAGAGGTAAAATTTAACAATCAGACTTAAAACTAACATTGTGACAGATAAGATACGTACAGACTTTTTAACTGTTTAATACAGATTAAAAAAATTAATTACATGATAAAAACAATGTGACTTACGTGAATTGGATCCAGAATTTTGACTGCTGCTTTTTGGCCATTTTTCTTATTTAACACTTTAAAAACTTTCCCGTAAGTTCCTTTGCCGATTGTTTCAGTGATTTCCCATGTATCAGAAGGATCAGGAAAGTTATCGAAGATGATTGTTTTTCCAACTAATGGAAGCATCTCAAAAATTTAAATCACTGGAGAGAAAAAGTACAGAGTTTCATCTCCATTAGATTGGAATAGTAAATGGCATACATAAACTCATGGGAAATTATCTAATATTTCACTGTTATGATGGAAAATGTACATCAGTAACCAAATGTACTCAAAGTCATAGAAAATTTTAATTTGCATTCTTTTTTGCAAACACATTAATATGAGTTTAATATCACTTTGTAAGCAGGGCTTTATTTCTATGTTTAATATAGTCCCATATTAATTACTATTAATTCTTTTCAGATTAAAATAAGAGTTACATATTTAAATCATTTTGCTTTACTCCTTTATACACAGAAATGAAAGGATTTTAGAATGAAGTTTAGAGACGATAAAATTCAACTTCACCAAAGCAGATTGCTACTTTAAAATGATTTTGTCTTATAACACTTTTCTATGTAAACTCCAATAATGGGCCCCTCTCCATTGCTTTTAGGATGAAATTTCTTTAACAAAACCTACCAGGTCCTTTAAAATATGGCTCTTGCTTAATTTTCCAGCCTAATGTTCCTACACTTCTCTCTTACACTATAATCCAGCCATTTAGGACCCTTCAGATCATTTCTTTGTGGCTTGAGGATCTTAACATACGCTCCCACCTCTGCCCATGATTCCTTTGCTAAACTCAAACTCCTACTTATCCTTCAAATCTAGGCTTCAATGTCACTTCCTTGAAATCTGACCATTCTCTGTTCCATTTGGGTTCAATGACTTACCTCTGTACTCCAACATCATTCTGTATCTACCTTTACTTTATAATATTATATGCCCAGCACCTGGCACAGGGCTGGAATAATTAGGAGAATATGGCTAATAAAGTCAAGACTTTAAAAAGGAGATTTTATATATAAATAAGAGATAAGATACCAGATTTCTTACTTCTAGGTAGTGCTTTTAACGTTCCACATTCTCCCTATATTACATTCAACCATTCGTATAAAAGAAAAAAAGAAATTGAAAGAACCCCCAGCACTTTATTCCATGAAATTCACTTGTCTGACCACAACTTTCAACCTCCTCCACACCACCAATCCATTGATTCCTCACTGTAGAACCTCTTCAGTCTTCATACTTCTTCTTCCCCAGCATAAATTCTACAACTTGAACTACTGTGACTTTCTTGCAAACACCCTCACCACTTGTTCCTCTCTTTCTTCACCACAATTCCCCGGAGTAAACAATCCAACTCTGGTTATACACTATATGTTCTTATCACCTGTCCCTGTATCTAGAGAAAACCACACAACCATGCTGACTAGCTTCACTTTAAATTCAGGATTAAAAAATCTACAAGTTCACCCACAACAAACTGCACTTCCTTGGTTTGACTATTCCCTTTTCTTTGGAATGACTGTTTTACAGCGATCTCTCTCCTAAATTTTTTCTCCTAATTATTCCCTCTACCACCCACCCACTCCCACAAACTTCCCAACTGATGGCATTATTTAATGATTAATTGAAAAAATGGAAGCAATAATACACCCCTTAAACTTCTCATCTCAAAAAACTACAAACCAATGTACATCAAACACGAAGAGTTCATTCAAATCATCAGCAACTGCCGGTTGGCATCAGTCTATTTTTTAATTTTTTTTGGTTCCTTCTTGGCTCAAACAACACTTTTTTAGAACAGGTCTTTCCTGACGACCTATATAAAGGTGGCCTTCCCCACAACAAGAACATACAGACTTTGTTATGTTTACTACTGTATCCATAATTTCCAAAACAATACCTAACACATAGTAGGCAATCAGTAAGTACTGGCTAAGTGGGAAAATACTTGTTTATTTTTTAATTATGACAGCAGAGACCTTATCTATCTTGTTCATTTCCAAATCTAATAATGCCTAACTCTTTGCCTGGCACATAGATGTTAAATATAGCTGTTGAATAAATGGATCAATATGGTTCTTCAAACAATTGTTTTTGAAAAAATAGAAGAGAAATAAGGATTAGAGAGAGATGAAAAGAATTTTATTTTATTTTATTTTATTTTTTTGGTTTTGCCATTTTTAATTTATTTTTAGAGAGAGGGGAAGGGAGGGAGAAAAAGTAAAAGAGAAACATGAATGTGAGAGATAAACAACAACTGGGGGCCAATCCTGCAACCCAGGCTGGTGTGCTGACCGGGAATCGAACCACTGACCTTTTGCTTTGTGGAACAATGCCCAACCAACTGAGCCACATTGGTCAAGGCTGGTTTTGCCACTTTCTTTTTTTTTTTTTTTTAATTAATTTATTTACTTTTTAAATACATTTGTCTCTGCCTTCCCCCCACCTCTTTCCCTTGCCCCCTCCTACCTTCCCTCCCTCAGCTCTTCCCCTTTGGTTTTGTCCATGAGTCCTTGCTATATGTTCCTTGACTTTCCCCTTCCCTTCCCTTTCCCTGCCCCCGCCCTTCCCTCTTGTCTCTGTTGATTTCTTTTCCTTTCAGTGTTGCTGGTCATATTTTCCTTGCTTCTTTGCATTGTTGGTTAGGTTCTGCTTATAGGTGAGATCATATGGTATTTGTCTTTCGCCCCCTGGCTTATTTCGCTTAGCATGATGCTCTCCAGTTCCATCCATGCTGTCGCAAAGTTTAGTACTTCTTTTTTTCTTTCTGCTGCGTAGTATTCCATTGTGTATATGTACCATCACTTTTTGATCCAGTCATCTACTGATGGGCATTTAGGTTGCTTCCAACACTTGGCTATTGTAAATTGTGCTGCTATGAACATTGGGGTGCATAGGTTCTTTTGTATTGGCGTTTTGGTGTTCTCAGGGTATAGTCCCAGCAGGGGAATCGCTGGATCAAAAGGCAGTTCCATTTTCAGCTTTCTGAGGAAATTCCACACTGCTTTCCATAGTGGCTGCACCAGTCTGCATTCCCACCAACAGTGGACTAGGGTTCCCTTTTCTCCACAGCCTCACCAGCACCTGTTGTTTGTGGATCTGTTTATGATGGCCATTCTGACCGGTGTGAGGTGGTACCTCATGGTGGTTTTGATCTGCATTTCTCTGATGGCTAGTGATGCAGAGCATCCTTTCAAATGCCTCTGGGCCCTCTGTATCTCCTCCTTAGAAAAGCGTCTGCCCAGGTCCTTTGTCCATTTTTTGATTGGACCGTTTGTCTTCTTGGAGTAAAGTCGAGTTTTAAAATATAAACAGAAAAGGGTCATATTCTGATTCATTATATGTAAGGGCACATCACCTAGCAGATGGCTATGAATGCCTGTTAAAATTGTAACAGTACATAAAAACACATTTATGAACAGCTCTTAGAACACTTAATCTTTATGAAATTTGTGCTTTTGATTTGAAATGAAAAGGAACAAGTAGAAGGTAATCAGTAATAATCATCAACTTGAGTGATTTCAAAATCAGTGGTAAGATAACTACTTCTTATATATATCAGAGTCACACAAATGGTATTTATGCCAACCAGTATAAAAGCTAGACCAAAAGACCAACTTAAATCTTTTTAAATGCCTGAAACAGGAGTTTTCAATCATGAGAAATATTCTTTATATGGAATACTTCCTTTCAAGCAATAATATTATTGAACACAATTTTAATTTCTGCTATATTAGCTATTAGGAATTAACTATTAGTCTTTAAATACATAGGCATAAAAATTCAATTAAAAAGTGACTGAACACCAAATGAATGCGAAGTATTTTAGAGTTTTAAGGATACAAAGATAGGCAACTCATGGATAGATAAATAAACCTGAAACTATAATATAGTATGAAAGGTGACACATAAAGGGAATATTCATAAAGTGCTATAGTAGCCCAGATCAAGAAGTAATTAATTCTGAAATTATCATTAAAAATACAGAAAATAAGCAGTATTAGAGCTGGACATTAAATATGAATAAGAGTTTGTCTAAAATATAAGTTTTTCTTTAAAAGTTCTCAATTAAACAAATTATTATAAAATAATAATCACAGAATGACAAAAGTACAGGGATTTGGATTCAGAATATTCAGAATACATTTAATCAAATTCCATTAAAAACAAACAAAAACTTCCCAACAAGTAGGTAAAATAAAGCCTAAAATGACTTCCTCAAAATCAAACATTAAAGAATTTCAAGAATTAAAACAAAAGCCAGTCTTTTGACTCCTAAACTATACTTTTCCCACTATACACAGTTGTTTATTCTTTAAGAAAAAAATAGACTGTCACAGTTAGTAAATGACTAATTATTTAATGACTACAGTAAATTGCATTCTACATAGCAATACATATTGGTATTTTTTCCTAGTCCTTTAGCAGTCACAGAATAAAAAAAATCCTCTAGCTCATAAAACTAAAACATATATTTAAGTTTCTAATTATACAATCAAGTAAGCTAAAGAATTATTTTTGTCAGATACTTACGGTATTTTGGTGTATATATTTGCATAAATCCAAAAAGTTACTTACAAAGCTACAAGTAAAAAATGAAGAATCATCTTTTATAATTGATTTATTATATATTCAGCTGTTGGGTTCTTTTTCACAATAGGAAAAAAAGCCCATAATATAATGAAAAAAAGTATCTTACTTCAGGATCTTGACATTCATCACAACTATTACTCTGACTGCTTTTGGAAACCTGCACTTAATTTTTCTTTACTAAAATAAACAAATGGACTTCATGCTCATTCAAAAACACAGTGGGAATGATCTCCCATTGAGCTGTCTCTATCATCTGCCAGAAGGCTCTTTCTCCAGATATCCACATGACCTTCAAGTTTTACATCAGTGATCTCCTTCTCAATAAGTACTATCCTGACTACCCTAGTTAAAAATCTATTCCTGCTCTTCTCCACCTCATCTTGCCTCCCAACTACTGGTCCCCCTTAACCTGCTGTATTTTCATGGCACTTATTACCTCCTAACACTTTACTTCACTTCTTGTTTATGTTTTATTTATTGTTTTTGTATACTACTGGAATGTAAGTTCCATGAGGACTGAAATTTTTATCCAGGTTGTT